CCAGGTGCATAGGTCAGTGACTCTCAGGTAAATGTGCTTCTGACCAGCTGGGTGGCGTGGTGGTGCACGCCTGTAATACCAGCACTTGGGAGGCTGAGGCAGGAGGATTACTGCTAGTTTGAGGCCAGCTAGTGAGACCTTGTCTCAAAAAACAAACAAAAGAATATGTATATATATAAATATACATATATATGTGTGTGTATATATATATATATATATAAAACAACAAACAAAAGGGCCAGGGATTCAGCTCAGTGGTGCCACTGCCTGCCTTGCAAGCACAAGGTCCTGAGTTTGATCCCTGGTACCAAAAACAAACAAACAAACAAAAAAACAAAACAAAAAAATGCTCCTCTGCTACTCTATAAGGCAGGCAAGGCCAGGATAGGCTGATTGGGGCTGGCATTTCTGGTCTCTTTAAAAAAATGGGCCTCTGAACACATACGTGCATATTTATTTGCTGTCTCCCACCAAGCATGTAGGTTCCAAGAGGGCAATGATTTTGTCAGAATTATGAGCTTCTTGCACTCATTCCTGGCATTTCTTAAGAGTTTTCTGTTGGTTCAATGAACCAGCTGGTACAGCTCTCCAGGTAGAAGCTGACAGTCACTTAGCCTGGTGCTCAATGCGTGGGTTTGGGATATAGTGGAAACCTCAGAAGAGTGGGGCATAGCATTCATTTGAAAAGAGAATGTAGCCAGGTGCGGTGGCGCATGCCAGTAATCCCAGCACTCCAGAGACTGAGGCAGGAAGATTGCTACAAATTCAAGGGAAGCCTGAATTATACAGTGAGCCCCTGTCTCATTAAACAAAACAAAACAAACAAACAAACACCTGGGGATGCTGAGGGCCAGAGAGGAGAAGCAATGCTTAATCAGAAGGGGCATTCCATCTGTCTTCCCTCGCTCCCCCTTGGCCCACCGCCACTCTCCTCACCACTGTAACTTCGCCTTGCACAAGGCCCTGATGCAACCCTGTACTGGCCTGGGGCACCCTCTTGGGGCAGCAGTGGAAAGGAGGTTTTGCAAGAGTTGTGGTAGGCAGGAAGCAGGGCCAGCCAGGTCCAGCTGCCGAGATAAGGGCGCCCTGCCCCTCCCTGCAGTTCCTCCTGCCTCTGGTTTCCTCTTCCCTTCCCTTTCCCGGAAAGTGACGCCTGGACCCTGGACCCAGCCTCACCCAGCCTGGGCCTGGCCCTGTGACTCACACCTCCTTTCCCTGTGGAGCCAGCTGGACCCAGAGACCAAAGCTCCTGGGAAGTTTGGCTGTGTGACTCTGGGCATCAAGAGGCCACTCTGGTTGGAAGTTCCTGGAGCTCATTAGGAGTGACTAATGTGGAAGAGGCCTAAGGCAAAAGGTTGGGGATCCACAGCACCCCCAACAAGTCCACTCTGAGGCTGGATGACTCACACCCGCATGTGTGAGGTTGTGGATTACGTGAATGCTGGGGGTGGGAGATGCAGTGCATCCAGAAATCAGGGCCTCGTGGCCCCCAGCATCCAGGACAGGCGAGAACCTTTGCAGAGTGTGGCTGGTTTCCCCCACCCCACCCCACCCCCCGTGGTTTAAGACCTGTGCCAAGCCGAGTGACCCCTTATCTCAGAACTGGGTCAACAGGACCTGGCCCAGGACTTCTTGAAGTTGAGAGAGCCTGGGCCATTGTCATCGTTCCAGGCTCCACTTAATATTTTTAAAATCAAGAAATGCCAAGATATGGGTTATAAAAATCATGATATGTGTATATCTTGAATTTATCCAATTTATTGTTTTTAAAAAGAAAAATATACACTGGTCAGGTTTGACTTCAACTGGAAGATGAAAAGGAGTGAACTGGGTATCGGTGGGAACATGAGACATTTCATAAGCCTGGTTCAGACCAGGCTGGTTTCTTAAAAAGTCCTCCAAGTCCAAGTCCCTATGGCCCTGGGTGGGTCAGTGCCCCTCTCTGATGCTTCCTTGTGTGGGTCAGAAACTGTACCAAAGGTCCCATACCTAGTAGGGCTGCTGAGACAGCCCCCTTAATAAGGTCTACACTTGAGCCAGCCAGGGTGCTACAGATTGGGTCCCAACTCCTGGGCTCTCATCATCTTCCTGCCTCAGCCTCCAGAGTAGCTGGGACTACAGGCACCCAGTTTGAAGGTACAAAGCTACCCTCTCCCCTTGTGGGGCATTAAACCCAGGGTCTTTGCACTGAGCTCCACTCCCAGCTCTTTACTTAGTGGGGGGAAATCTCATTAAGTTGCCCAGGCAGGACTTGAACTTTCGAACCTCTTGCATCAGCCTCCTGAAGTGTTGGCTTTTAACGTGCATCCTGTCAAGTGATCCTGGAGGCTCAGGTTCTGAAGCCCATTTTCCAGATAAGAAAAAGGAGACTCAGGGAAGTCCCGAGCATTAAGTCTAATACGGAGGCTGTGGCTGCGTTCTGTCTCTCTAGTATAACATACGCCTGTATCATTATTATAGTCGTTACCAAATTGAGCACTGGGGGGCGGGGATTTAGCTCAGTGGTTTCGCCGCCTGTCGCGCAAGCGCAAGGACCCGAGTTCGATCCACGGTGCCAAAAAAACCCATAAAATAAAAATAAAAAATTGAGCATTAGATGGCATTGGCCCGCGAAGGTTGTGAGGATTAATGAATTGACATTTAACATGCTTAGGGCAGCGCCTGGCAGATAATAAGCGCTGCGTGTTTGTTAAACCAAACAGAACTTCGGGTCTCTGCCCACGGTCCTGGAACGGCAGGACCCAGTGCCCAGGGAACCAGGTCCTGGGGCTCCTCGGGCTCCCGCAGCTCTTGGCAGGGGCCAGTCCAGGCGCAGCTCAGGCGTTAATGATTTCCGAAGGAGTCGGTTCTGCTCGCGCACGCGGCGGCCGCCTCGACCCCCTCCCTCCCGGCCAGGCCCGAGCCTCTTATGCAAGCCGCCGGCGCCCGCGCGTTCCCAGGCCCTGCTGCAGCTGCGGGCGGAGGGGCAGGGCGGGGGCGGCGCTGTTTGTCTAGTGCGGCCCTGCCAAAGACGGCGGGCCCCAGACAGCCAGGCGCCTCCGTACACCTGGGGATGCTCAGGTTAAATAGCTCCGCATTCCTCGGGCCCAGCTGATGGAAACGCTCCCAGGCCGCCGCCGAGCCGGCCTCCAGATGGGCTGGGCCTGGGCCAAAGGGGAAGAGAAGGAAACGTGGAATCCAGAGAGCGCCTGAATGGCGGGGGAGGTGACGAGGCCGCTGCAGCCCCTTCTTCGGCTGGAAGGAGGCCCCGCAGTGCGGAGTCCGGGGGACACGCCCACGGCCCCGTGGGTGGGCTTGAGGGGGTGCACGTGGGAGGGAGTGGGTGCACACGTGTGCCTCTGGGACACCCCAAGGACACACAGCCACAATTAATAATTTATAACTATCAAGCTCTACGTGCCAGGCACTGTGCTGAACGCTTTACTCGAGTTCATTTATTCTGGACACTCGTGTGAGGTTAGCACTGTAAAACAGCTGCTGGATGGCAAAGAACTTAATTTACCTACAGATACTGTTTTCTTAGTCCACAAAATGCTAAAACATTTTAATGCTATAATCATCTTAAATTTTATTTTTGCTTATACCCCCTCTGAGCTTGTTTCTGCTGTTGTAACACTGGCATCAGAATCTTACCTTTACCCCTAGAGGGATCCGTGAAATCTTTTCCTAACGGGTGGAGCACAAAGTCAGGCTCTGGGTTCTGGGTACTATTTGTTTTAGTTTATTTATTGGCAAGATGTATAAATAGTCTTTACCCTCGCTGGGTCAAGTTTGTGCCTTTTCCGGAACTTGGTTTCTCCATGTATACATGGAAGTTGACCTGGCAGGGATACTTGGTGGGGGGTGGGGGGTCCCCAGGGCCTAACAATTGCGCAGGGAGCTAGTATACTTGAACTTTTGAGGGTTTGCCTAAACAGCTGCCCACACCCTTAACCTGAACTTGCAGAGGCCCAGGAATGCCAAGCAAAGTACAGAGTAATTACACACATGCAGCGCCCCCAAGACACAAACATCCATCAACTGAGACCCAGGCACAAATGCCCCGATGCATTTGGGGGAAACACATAAGCCCAAACAGCTGTAGGTTGCAGTTATCTGCAGAACACATGTGCTTACATTTGCCCTTCAACATACACCCCAGCCACATCCTGATTCACACCCAGGCCTGCACAGGAGCAATGACCCAGCCCCCTAGTGGGAAGGATTATGTTTGTTGGTGTCACACACACAAGCCCTGGCACTTGTGCACTCCCCCGTGAGCAGAAACCACATATCCAGGCAGATAGGCCTGTGCCAATGACACCTTTTTCCTGCTCAGGAGGTAGGGACAGGACTGGCTCACTCCTCAGAGCCCACATAGTAGCCCCAGGGGACAGCCTGGTTCTAGTGGTTGGCAGAGCCAGGGTAGGGTGAGGGGGCTGAGTCCAGACCCAGAGCAGGTGGCCTGGCAGCTGTGCACAGTCTGGCCCTGCCAACTTGATCACCCACTTGGACAGGCCTAGAGCCCAAGGCAGCCTGCTGGCATGGGGGGCAGGGTGGCCTGCTCAGAGAGATCTTCTACTGGGAAACAGGGCTACAGGAGCTCTGCTTGAGTGTGATCCCAGGCAGATCCCTTTCACTAGGTCTCACTTCCCCCGTAGTGGCAAGGAGGCAGATGGTCCAGTGACCAGGTCCTGACTTAAATATCCTCAACTCAGAGGAGGCCTCAGCAGGTTCATTTGCGTTTTAACAACTTCCCCAGGTGATCCAGGTGGCCCAGGGACCACTTTTTAGAGACCCTAGAGGTCTAGTGGATTTAAGTTTATGACTCTGGGGAGCAGGGAAATGGCCAGAGATGGGGGAAAAGAATAGACTTTAAAGACACCGGAAACACTCATTCAGGTCGGTTAAGTGAGACTGTCCAGATGTGGCCCTCCAGGCCCCCTCCTCCCAGCACCAGCTGCGAAAAGGTCAGAGGTCAACCCCTACCCCCTCCCTTTAATCCAAGAAGTCACTGCAACTTTACCACCGTCTAAAGTATTTGTTTAATAACAACAACAACAACAAAAAACACCACCCCACAGAACTATTGTAAAACAATATTCTCAGTCGGTGATCATTGTAATATACAATACAAAGCAATTTCCTCAGAAATCTGAGAAGCACCAAACGTGACCATTTTTTAAGTCTGCTTTTCAAAAAATAGAAACACACGGGGAAACTCCCCAAAGTCTCTGCCAAAAGGAGGTGTTGGAGAGAGGATCGCCTTCTCTCGTCAATCCCCCCAACTGTGGGCTGGATCCAGCTAGGGACCCATGGCCCGCCGGTCTATCTTGTTTCCCCCAGCTCCGAGACGAGGCGCTTGGGGGGACCGAGAACACTTATTCCTCCTGCCTCCTGGAGGGTCGGGGTCCATTGGTCCCCGAGGGCGGCACTTCAGCGACACAAGATGCGATCGTCAGCCGAAACACATGCTGTCTGTGAAAATGAGAGAAGGAATAAGATGATGAAGTTTGGTGAGGAGATTACAGTGTAGCAGGGGGCCCCACTCGCCTCCAGGAGACTCGCCCCAGGAGACTCGCCGAGGGAGGGCGTCGCTATGCAGGTGCCGGAAAGGATGGGGAGAGAGGTACTACAATCACCCTCCCCGCCACCACCCGTTTCCCCATCGGCAGGATGATCTCGTGCTCCAGCTAGGACCTCACCTCTGTCGCCAAGGCGCTGATCTCGCCGTTGAGGGTGCTGAGCGGAGCCCGGACCGGCAGCCCCCGGCCCCCTGGGGTTCCGACTTCGGATTCCGAGTTCAGCTCCAACTGCAGGTCCCTGATGTAGTCGATGACGTGCTGCAGGATCTCTACCTTGCTCACTTTGCGGTTCTGGGGCAGGGTGGGCACTAGCTCCTTGAGGCGCGAGTAGCAGCCGTTCATGTCGTACAGCAGCACGTTTACCTGCTGCTCGTCCAGCAAGGCGGGCAGGCGCGTCCCGGCGCAGCGAGAGATAGCCACGCTCTGCTCGGACAGGCAGCGAACCACTTCGCCCGCGCCGCCCGCCGTCTTGCCAGCCTTTAGAGCGCAGCTGGGGCCCGCGGCGGGCGCGGCGCTACCACTGGCCACCTTCATGATTCTGGCAAACGGCGAAACGGTAAGACGCGCGGTGGACGGAGGAGGCGGGGGCCGAGCGTAAATAGAACCGGGAGAAGTGAGAACAGGATAGTAGAATGCGGGAGCGAAGCGCCCGAGCCAGTCTTTTATAGCGACACCCCCACGGGGGCGGGCTCAAAACGTTCAAAAGCAGCCAATACGAGGCCTGGAGGCGTGGTCTCGTACTCTCCTGGGTCCTGTCCCCTTGCTCAACTAGTGCGCCCTCGCGTTGGTGGAAAGGTGACCGAGTCTTAAGCACGGAGAGAGAGAGAGAGAGAGAGAGAGAGAGAGAGAGAGAGAGAGAGAG